ACATTAGTGGGAGTACCACCCCTCGCCTGGACGCCTTGAGCACGCCCTTACTGTTTCTCTCTGTCTACATGCGCTTCCTGCTCTCGAAAAGGGCAGCCGGCTTCTCTTCCAGGTCTCCACACAATGGCCCCCTCCTCAGGCTGTCCCCGATCGTCCTAATAAAGTGTCCCCTTATCACCTCCTACATGGAGATGATCCCAGTCTATACTCATGAGACTTACTCATTGGTTTACCTGTTTAATGTCATCCTCTGGACAGCAGCAGCCGTTTTGTGGGTGGGAACTTGCCTGTATCATTCACTTTTCCGTTCTACTATACTTCCTGGTGTGGAGTGTGCATTTAGTGAATGTGTGAATGAGTATTGACTGTGTCAGTGCCCCGATGATGGGCCCATGTGCTCGGAGAGCTTTTCTATCAACCAGCCATGGTGAGTTGCCCTAGAAGATAGGCCAAGGCCTGTTCTCAGACTGAACCCATAATAGCTTCCCATGTTTTTCGGGTTATAGAAGAAATAAAATAACGTTCCTTTCTTTGTAATCAGCTTATAAAATCACAGAGCCCACTTTTTGTGCTAACTCCTACTCATGACTCCTCCTCTGGGAAGCCCTTTGGCCTGGCTACTTATGTATTCCCATGGTATCTTAGAGAGATCTAATTTACAGTCAATGAAATTCCCCCATTTTCAATATGTAGTTTGGTGACTTTTGACCTAGCAAGCATGCACTCATGCAAGCAGTCCAGAAAGTTCCTTTCTGCCTAGGTTGTTGCTGCTTCTTTTTAAAAATTGTGGTAAAATACATATAACATGAAATTGACCATTTCAGCCATCTTTAAGGGTGTGGGTTGGTGGTGGTAAGTCTGGTTCCTATTGTTTTGCCACCGTCCATCTCCAGAACGTTTTTCATTTTCCAGAACTGAAACTTTGTACCCATTAGACACTAACTCCCCATTCTCCCCTCTTTCTTCTCTTCCCAGCCCCTGATAACCACCATTTTACTTTCTGTCTGTTTGACTTTGGCTTCTTCTTTTTTCTTCTGTTGTGGTAAAAAACGCATATAAAATTGACCATCTTAACCATTTTTAAGTCTATGATTCAGTAACGTTAAGTAATGGCTTCTTTTAAACATACGTTTGGGTTTAGTTGTGAATGCAGAAAACTTCAATTAACAGTAGCACAAACATGGTTGTCCGTGGCTCCTGTGACAGCTGTACCAATACTAGGAATCTTGTGCTTTGTCATTTGTTACACATATCTTCTACCTCTTAGTCCAATATGGCTGCTCTAGTTCCAGCCCTCAAGTCCACATTCCAGCCAGCAGGAAGGTAAATGGGGGAGAAAGGCATATATTTTCCCTTTAAGAGCACTTCATAGGGGCATCTGGGTGGCTCAGTGGGTTAAAGCCTCTGCCTTCCGCTCCGGTCATGATCCCAGGGATCGAGCCCCACATTGGGCTCTCTGCTCAGTGGGGAGCCTGCTTCCTCCTCTCTCTCTCTCTGCCTGCCTCTCTGCCTACTTGTGATCTCTGTCTGTCAAGTAAATAAATAAAATCTTAAAAAAAAAAAGCACTTCATAGAAGTTACACATCATTTTGCCCTTATGTCCATCAGAAAGAACTTGGCCATGTAGGCACATCTTGCTGCAGGAGAGCTGGGAGAGGGAGTCTTTATTCTGGACCACAGATACCAATTGTAATTTGTGGGTCCTAATGCTGAGAAAGAGGAGCATGCACGTTGTAGGAATAGCCAGCAGAGTCCACCACAGCTTGCCCTCCTCATAGCACTGGTTACTGCACTGAGATCATTTCTTTGCTTCTTACCGGACTGTCAGTTCCCTCAGCCAGAGGCTGTGTGTGTGTTTTACCTCTCGGCCCAGGACCAGATTCTTCATGTTTATCTACAAATAAATGAGTCCAGCCAAACCATGTGATTTGGAATAGTAGAGAAGTGAGGCATTGAAGAATGAAGTGACCAGAGTCATCCAGCCTGGGCTCCCACCAAATTCAGGAAACTGCTTTCCTGCAGATTGGGCAGGTGGCTTCCACTGACCACACCCACTGCTGGGCACTGCCAGCCATGTAGGGGCTCTTCTGGCTGTGCACCCACACTTGGCCTCCACGGAACTTTCACACCGTTCCGCATTGCCACCCCCACCACGGTTCCACTTTCCATACCTTTCCCTGGCTCCAGGTCTCCCTCTGCCAGACGGAGATGCCTCCTGGGAGTCTTCACAGGACCTGCTCCTCCCTGAGGGGTCAGGGTGGGGGAGCATTCGGGGCCTGAGTCTCCTGAGGCTGAGAGCCTGGGCAGGAAGGCAATGTCACTTCTGTCCTGGGCTGAGTGCAAGAGAGCGGATGACCCCCCACCTGTGCTTTGCCAGGACTCTGAAGGGATCCAGCTCTAACACTTCCTCTTCACCTGAGGTGGCTGTTTTCTCATGTGAAGACGGACATGCCTGGCCCATAGCATGTTCTTTCTTGGCTTACATTGTGAGGCCCGATGGCCCAGACTTTAAATTGTAGGGCCTTCCCCCCACGCCCTGGCCCATTCCCCTCTTCTCTTTTCCTGCCTTCTAGAGCTCTTGGTTCTCTGATGGCCCCTCTGTGGCTTCTTAAGCTTGCCTCACCTGCTGCAGGCCTCAGGTTCTCCTTTCCCAAGTGTGGCTGCAGGGGGCAGCACTGGCTCCCCAGGACCTCAGAGTGCGGCTGCTAAACTCCAGGGGAACCACACCCCAGTGTATGACAAAGGCCCCATAGGAGGCTTTACACAGAGTTGAGGCTTCATACCTGGCTTTCCAATTCCTTCCAGAAGGTCCCTCCACCTTTAACTCTCACTACCCCAAGGAAGGCATTCATCCTTCCTTCCCCCACAAAGCCTCTTTTTATTTTCTTGGCATGGCCCTTGAAGCTCTAAGCAGGGCAGAACAAGAGGAGCCTGTGTCCCCTAGTGTCCTCTGGAGACCCCAGGCCGGCTGCGCCATCCTGAGTGATGTGGGCCTCGTGGTCGGTGACACACAGGCAGCTCCCTCTCCAACTGGCAGGCTTCTCTTGCCATCTTCGGGCATGGTCACTGCATGGCCACTGGCAGGGCACGGGCGTCGATAGGAAGTGGCAGGAAGAGTGGGAGCCAGTGGCATGAATTTAGATCCTGGGCCTTTAAGTAAATGCTCAGAGCAGCCTACATGGTGGGGAATTCCAGATGAGGGAGCCTGTGGGTAGTTCCCAACCTCTGCTCCCACATTTCCCGGCAGAGCCGGCTGGGCTCTCTGGGGGACCCTGGGACCACCCCACGGTCCTGTTCTAGCTCCCGACACCAGGATGACCACTGATGTGCACATGCTACTCATTGACTTTGAGGGGAGGGAACCAGGCCCTGCAGGCTGTGTTTTCTCCCCGCCCCCTGCTCCCCGCAGTCCTGGATATAGGTGTGTCGGATTGAAGAAGACATACTTGTCTTTAACATCTTGATGGCGTGGACTGCCACTGCGCCACCTGCCATGCTTACTCTCAATGCCCCTGTACTTCCCCTCTCTGTAGCAGATGTCCTTTGAGGGGGCGTTTCTGAGAACAAGCAGGTCCAAGAAGAAAAAGCAGACTCTACCCCATAGTGCTTGTTAACCTCTTGGGCCACGTGGCTTGGCCCACGTTCGGGCAGGTATGTCTGTTATTCCTGCCAGGTGAGTCAGTGGAGATGGAACATTCATTTATTGGGGCAAATGTGCCATGTTAGAGTCATTCTGGGAAGTCCAGCATGCCATGTCTCTCCCCCTTACCACCCCCGCCCCCACCCTGGGGGCAGCAGGGGAGGGGAAGTGCTGATGAAGGCAGGGGAGAGGGAGAGTTCACAGGGCGATTTGGAGCTCCTGATGCACCACTAAGGGAGGGGAAGCGGACCTGGGGGCAGACGGAGCAGCAAAGCAGAGAAGGGCAGGCAGGCATTCTCCAGAGGCTTGGTTTTATTGTGCGGTTCTTTTACCTCAATGAGATACCAGAAGCTGAGGTGCACTATACACAGTCACAGGACAGGGCACAGCTGCCAGGGTGGGGCAGGGAGCTGGGGGTTGGGAACAGCCATCTCTCGAGGCATGTCTCTCTCCAGGGGCTGCCTCAGATTCCCCTACCCCAAACCTCCCAGGCCCCCAAGAAGCCTGACCTGTAGAGCAGAGGACTGTCGGAAGGCTCAGCCTCCAGCCACTGGGGTCTGGCAGACGGGGGAGGGAAAGAAGAGCCTCCCGAACACTCGGGCCACACACACCTCTGCTCAGGGACTCCACCTGGCCTGGCTTCCTGCCTCTAGGTCAGAGTTCTGGAAGCTCTTAGGAGCTTGGGACCGGTTGGGAGGAGGCTGGTCCTCTGCCGCCCGCTCAGCCACTGGCTGAGGTAGTGAGGGACAGTAGGCTCTTAACTGTAGTTTCATCAGGTAGAGAGGGGTGCCGGACCCTCTCTTCTTCCACGTCTGTAGCCCTCCGTCAGCACCACTCCCAGGCAGGTTCTGCTCTGTCACCTGGCCATGCCAGGCCCACAGTCCCAAGGGGACCTCTGCAGTGGTAAAAGGACAGCTTCTTGCTGTGGCAGAGAATGCTCCCGGAGATGTTCTGTTCTGTCCTCTTGTGATGGGCCACAAACGCTTGGCAGTGCCCTCACATCCGGGGTCTTTGGGCACCATCCCCACCTGCTGAGGGATGTGCTAGGCCCAGATGCACCTCCTCCTCCTTCTTCAGGTTTCTCCCAGGCCCATGGTCCTGGTGGGCAAGGATGACCCCCCCCTTCGTCCCCCTGGGACCCCTCTATCCTTCTACCCCTTCCATTCCCTCACTCTCCATCACGTCCCCAACCCTGGCTTCCCTTTTCACAAACTCCCGAAGAAAAGGAAGGATAAACTAGATAGAAGCAGCTCTGGAACAAAGAGTACAGGAAAACAAAACAAAACAAAAAAAAAAACAGCCAGTGGCGTGCGGAGAGGGAGTGAGACGGTGGGGGGGGGGTGGGCAGAGGGCTGGGGGGATGATGCATGCGGCGCTGGGATTCCTAATGGGGGGGTCCCCATTGTTCCTCGAGCTGTGTGAGGGACTCGGGGGTGGGGAGGGGGTCAGCCAACGCAGAGAAGTAGGGTCTCTGGCCCGGGCCACGTGGCTTCCTGCCCAAGCAGTCACAGGGAGATGAAGTCCATGGCCTGTAGGAGAGGCAGGGAGAGCAGGAGCAGCAGCAGCCACGAGGTGTTCTGCGCCAGCAGGCTGATGCCCTCACACTTGACCAGTTTGTCTGTGGAAAGAGAATGGGGGGGAAGGGCAGGGCAGGAGTGAAGAGGGCCCAGGATTCACGCAGCCACAGGCCCTGAGCTGGGGCACATTCCCTTGGGCAGGCTGGTGCCATGTTGGCTTAGCTGGAACCAGGGCCAGTCTGCTCTAGTAGAACCAACTATCTTTCTCATTCGCAGCTTCTTGAGTCTTAAACAAATGTCATATCAAATCTTTTATCAAGCACCTTCCATAGAAAACTTTGGGTGAGGTAGCTAGTGTCTTCCCTGTTTTCTAGGGTGGGGGGTATGGAGGAGGACTGTTGGGGCCAAGTGATTTGCCTAGTCATGGTAGAAGTGTCTGTGACACCATTCTGCCTGTCTCACTGTCCCCTTAGCCTTTCCCTTCATACACACAGCAGGCAGTGGTTCTCCCAGGGCACCAGGCAGTAGCTGGGGGGAGGAAGAGAGAGGTTCTGGGCCCCGCTCATCTCTGGTCTGGCTAAGGGGACTGCCTGCTGTCCTAGCCAGCCCTCTCCCTTCCAGCCTCTTCTCCCAGCTCACTTGGCCTTGTTGGGAGCTTGCCTCACCTCTGAGCACAGAAACATTCTTGCTGGAGGTGATGGGGGGCTGGCCAGAGAGCCGGAGTTCACAGGTGTACATTCCCTCATCCTTGGTGGTGAAGCTAGATAAGTAGAGGACCTTGATGTTGTACTTGCTGGTGAAGTTGGTTCGGGAGCGATAGGAATGCTCAGGCACCCCCATAGTGCCATAGAGCACGTGCTTCTTTTTCTCCCGGGTCAGGCTGAACTCATACTGGATGGGCGAGGTGGTAGAGTTCTCATGGCGGCAGTCCAGACGAAGGCTCTGGTCCACCAGGCACGCTGTCAGGCTGGTCACTTTCTGCCCACGGGCTACCTGCAAGACTGGCACCAGCAGTGCCCACTCCCAAGTTGGGGGGCCTGCGGAGCAGGGGACCTCCCACCCACAGTAACTGGAGAGAATGGCCTGGCCAGGGAGAGCACAGGGGTCTGCTTTTTGGGTACCTCTCCCCACCCCAGAGGTCCCTGGGGGCCACTTCCACTTCCCTGATGCAGACCCAGCCTCCTTCCCTCATGTTTTTTAAGTCCTGGTGTCCCAGGGGGCAGGAGATCTTGGGGAGTTGATGTAGGCTCCCGGTTCCCATTTGGAGATCCCGGCTCAGTAGGGGGCAGACTCAGTGAACTGTTTTTCCAAAAACTGCCTCAGGCAGCCCGAAGGTCAACTAGGTTACTCAGCGGATTTAGGGATGAGAAAGAGCCCTCTCTCCCTCAGTCATCTCCCCCTCCGAGGTTGGGAGGGAGCAGCTAGCTTCTCTGAAGGAAAGGAAGCCAAGGTACTTGGAATCCCAGCCCTGCCCCTTGCCCAGTACCTGTCAGCAGAAGAGCGAAGCCGATGGTGGGGTTCATGGTGCCGGGAGCTCAGCCCTTGATCTGGGGGTGCAACAGGATGGGGGTCAGCCAGGAGATGGAGCAGGTGGGCCCACATTTACTGCTAGGGCTGGGGGGGGCGCTCGGGTCACAGGCAGGCAAGCTTCTCTGTGTACTTCTCCCCTCCCACTTCTGAATTACTGTGACACTGCCACTTGGTGCCTCCCCCCTCTGGGAAAGCAAGGGGAGGGAGGACACACCGTGTGATGGTGTCTCTGTGTGAAAAACCTGGAGTAAAGGGACTTTGACCATTTCCTTTTTCCTTCAGGAAGGCAGAGACATCCTATATCCTAATTGTGGCAAAATGGATCTAACACAACCTTTACTATCTTAATCACTTTTTAAAAGATTGATTTGAGAGAAAGAGTGAAAAAAAGCACATGTGCAAGGGAGGGGGGAGGAGCAGAGTGGGAGAAAGAGGGAGGGAGAAAGAATCTCAAGCAGATCTGTGTCCCTGCTTGGTGGGACCCGGGGCTCAATCTCAGGACCCTGAGATCACGACCTGAGGTGAAACCAAGAGTCGGTTGCTTAACTGACTATGCCACCCAGGCGCCTCTGTCTTAATCATTTTTAAGTGTACAGTTCAGTGGCGTTATTAGGTTCCCTCACATTGTTGTGCAGGCAATCTCCAGAACTCCTTTTATCTTGCAACACTAAAACTCTACCCATTACACAAAAACTCCCCATTCGGGGACTTTTCTCTTTCTTTCTCTCTTTCTTTCTTTCTTTTTTTTTTAAGATTTTATTTATTTATTTGACACAGAGAGAGAGAGAGAGACAGCACAAGTAGGCGGGGGGGAGGGGAAGTGGGCTCACCACGGAGCGGAGAGCCTGACGTGGGGCTCCGACCCAGGACCCTGAGATCATGACCTGAGCTGAGGGCAGAGGCTTAACCCACTGAGCCACCCAGGCGCCCCAACTTTTCTATTTCTTTTTTAGAAGAAAAATCCCCAATACCCTAACAGTTCCTGGCGTATAATAGATGCTCAAAAGATCCTGAATGAATGAATGAATGAATGAACTTTAGATACACACAGGGTTGTGATGGGGATTAAGAAAAATGGCGAATGTCTGCCACTAGGAATGCTCCATAGTGAGTGGCCTGTAAATGTTTAGTCCCTTCCTCTAGAAATTTTCAGATTGTGTGGCTAAGGTGCTTCCAGATGGGCCAGTAGTTGACCTACAGCTAAGGGCCTTGCGACAGTGCTCTCTGATTGCATATGTTTTCTGATTGCATAGGAACCAAGATGTTTGCAAATGTCCAGCTCTCTGGACAGGCCTCTTGGGCCTGCCGTTTTCCGGTCTGGCTTCAATACACTCCCTGCCTAAGCTCTGTTCCCTGCCTTTTTTCAAAGCCTAGTCGGGACCAACATCCTAGTGTCCCGGAGTAGGGAACTTGGACTGTCCTCACTGATGCTCACCGGGGAGAGGCCGCGCAGGAGGGACTTGCGCGTGGGAGGGCGCGCAGGGCCCTGCCCAGATGCCTGCACCCAGGTGCGCAGCTGGCTGCCTCCAAGGTCCCCCAGGCGCTCCAGAGCTGGGCGAGGCTGGGGCCCCGGCAGTACCAGGGGGCGGCAGTTGGCACCTGCTCAGAAATATAACCGAGAGGGCCCCAGGGGTGCTGTTGGGGAAAGAGGGGGTCGGCATCTGGCTTTGATTCACAGACACTGAGTTATGGAGGAGGGGTGCGAGCTTGAGATCTAGGAGGGAAAAGGGGAAGCCTTGGCTAGGACGGGGATGAAATGGGGCTGGGGCTGGATAAGGATGGAGACCCAATGGCACAGTTAACGGTAGGGGAGGGACAGATGTTTTCATTTCCTCTGCCTGGTGTCCCCGCAGCCCAGAACCCAGACAAGTTCTGCACTCCCTCCTTCTCCAGCCCCCGTTAGACTAGCCCCACCCTCATTCCATTTCCGTATTCCACCCGTCTCCTCTCCCAATTGAGGTCCCCCTTCCCCCTCTCATCCTTTCCCAGTTCTCCCTTCCCCCGTCGGCCCGCCTTCCAGTCCCCGCCCGCGGCACTGCGGTTTCCCTGCCCTTTGACGCCCCGCACCCAGTCCACCACGAGGTTGCAGGGCAGAGATTCCCCCCAGCTCTCGGTCATCCGTTCTGTCCCGAAATCTCACCGCCCCCACCCCATGCCTTTGCGAGCTAGGTTTGGGGACATCTGCGTGGAGAGCAGAAACCAAGGCTGTCCTTGGCGCCCTTCATCCCGGTCCTCCTCCAGCGCCCCGGCCCCAGGCAACCATCCCTTCAGGGGGTGAAAATCCGGGTGCGCCTTCCGCTAAACGCGGGGTGCGGCACGGCCCCTGGCCTGCCACAGTTGCGTCCTGCTCCCCCCTACCTGGGAAGCAGACCCCTACTCAAGCACGGCGAGGCCCCTTGCCAGGGCACCCCCGAACCTTTTCTGGAAGCCTCGCGTTGGGAGGACTTGCCTGGGCGCTTGGGGCCTCTCCCAGCGCCCCGGGTTCCGCCCTGGCTCCCGCTCCCACCTGGGCTCCGGTCCTCCTCTGCTGCTGCAGGCTTCCCCCCGGATGCGCCGCCGCCGCCTCCAGTTGCAGCAGCCTGCCCGCGCCCCGCAGTTTTCACCAGGGGTGGGAATGGAGGAGCCCGGGTTGGCCCAGGGACCGGCCAATCAGAGACTGGGGAAGGGGGATGGGGGGAATGGGAGGCGAGGAAGAGAGGCAGAAGGAGGTGGCAGCGGTCCGGTATAGATGTAGGAGAGTGGCCATCTGCCGCAGAAGGGGGACCTCACCCTCTGGCTGGCAGGCCAGGCCCGGGATAGGAGGGCTTAGGGCCCCGGGGGATCAGGGTGGGGCAATGCTGGGAACGCTAGCTGCCTTCCAGAACCCCGAAATGACTGCTCCCCTATTTAGGCTTTAACCCTTTCTTCTGAATTAGGCTTCTGAAGCCTATGGGAAAAACAAGGGGCCGGAAACCCGCCCGTTAGGTCAGTGCCCACGCCTCCCCCCTCCCCCTTTTCAGCGGGAGCCCACCTCCCTGGAGCCAACAGTGAGAAATTTTGGAGTTGGAATATTCCAGGCTTTCTCCAAAGGAAGATGGCGAGGTGTTTTTCCACATTGGAACAGTTCTTCAGAGGCAAGGCAGGCACTGCATCCCACCTTCCCTGGTCCGGAGCCCTGCCGCACTCCTCATCCATCCCAGAACATCCGGACCTTCTGGGGCTTTCTGCTCTGGGGCTGGCACCTCCTGGAGCAGAGAGCTAGAAGGTTCTTCTTGGTTTCATATACTCCTCCTGACACTCCCATCCCCGCCCCACCTCCTCCCTAGTCCCTGAGTTGTGTCTGCTTGTTTGGCCTCCAGACAAGAGAAGGAGTACTGTGTTTTTTTTTTTTTTTTTTTTAACCAAACATTGTGCTGGGCACAGTATATTCATGGCTGTGTTGACCCCCCAGCAGTACGCTGGTTCATCTCATCCCACTTCCCATCCTGTTCCTCAGCTAGTAAGTGGGAGAGCTGGCCAGCCAACCTGGGGTGTAGAACCCCGTGTCCTCAGTGCTGGCCCACTCCACCACTACATCCCAGCCCAGTGGGAGGGGACATTGTGGAACTGTGGGAAAGGGGAGGAGACAGGAGCATCGAGAAAGAATAGAGGAAACCAGGCTCTTAATCCCATGGGGCACCCTCCCTAGCCCTATCATTTCAATTTCAAGTCACCAGAAGCCCCTGGATCTTTTTTCTTTTTTTTCATGGCCAGTGCCAGTGACTTGTCTCCCCACCCACAGGTGAGGGAATTTTTTTTTTTTTTTTTTTTTTGGAACGAAGTTTTAGCTTGATTTGCATCCTCATGGCCTCTTTGCGGATTCTGGCTGGGGCATCTTGTGGGCTGGCCCTGCCTCCCTGCCATCTGCCTGCCCGTTCTCCTATTTCTTCACAGAAGTCAGCCCTGGCACCTTAACCGCAGTTTCCATTACTGCAGTGCTACTGTTGGAAGTCATCCCTGGGCTGGCAAGTGGGAGACTCTCTTCCCTCTCCCTCCCTGGGAGGTTAGGTGGCCTCCGGGCTCTCCGAGGGATGGGACTTTCTAACTGGAACGAGCTTCGAGGATGGTCCAGTCTAGGGGCCATTCACCAGGATAAACAACAGATGCTCTGGCGGGTGGGGTGGGGTGGGGATTTATGAAAAAAGCAGTTGTCCCTGCCCACCTGGGATCTCCTTAGTCTAGCAGTGCACTGCCTGTGTCTGCACTTTTCACAAGCTCCCCAGGGTCTGGGGAGTACAGAACTGTGATCTGGTAAGACCGTCCCTCTTTATAGACCAGGTCACCTGGCTTCTTACTGTCTTCTTGGTGATTTTTAAGGCCCTAGATGTCCTGGCTCCTGACTGTCAGCCTTTACCACCAACTCATCTTGCCCATTTTTCTTCCTGCTACATTCTGGAAACGTTGGCGGTCTCCCTGTCACTGCACGCATGTGGTCTCCTGGCTAACAGCTTTCTACTTCTCAGTCTGGAGATCTTTCCTATCAGAGCACAGTTGCTTTAGGCTGGGGCCTAATCCCCTTCTCTCTCTCTCCTTCTCTCTGTCTCTCTCTCTCACACACATACATAGGCACAGGCACATGTACGGATGGGACTGGAGACAGTTCCTTTTTTTTGGCAGAACATGGGGATACCCAGAGGCATCTTATCTTACAGAAGATATCTGAGCGCTGTCTGTACATGACCCTGGCTGCTGTTTCCCGCTCTGTGGTGGAGTCTCTGAGTGTTGTTGGATGGGAGCTGTGCTATTTTTTTTTTTAAGATTTTATTTATTTATTTGACAGACAGAGATTACAAATAGGCAGAGAGGCAGGCAGAGAGAGGAAGGGAAGCAGGCTCCTCACTGAGCAGAGAGCCCAACGCGGGGCTCGATCCCAGGATGCTGGGATCATGACCTGAGCCGAAAGCAGAGGCTTTAACCCACTGCGCCACCCAGGTTCCCCAGAGCTGTGCTATTTTGATAAGGTTATGAGGACCTGGCCTACTTTCTGGGTCCCCAAGCACTTTAGTTCAGGAAGGGGAGGGAAGTGTGGACTCTCATTTTTCTGTCTACTAAAGCAAGATCTCTGGCTGGTTGGAGTTAATGGTTCGAATGAGACAATCTGGGGGCAGGGATGGAACACAGGTTGGAGAAGGGGATGGAATTTAAAAATCTCCCTTTTGCTAATGGTACAGGATCGGGGTGCTGACAGTAGGAAGGGTTTCGGGGAATCCACCCAAAGCAAGATTTCCTGACAGCCTGTGGCTGTTCTGCTGGTTCCTTAGAGCTAACTCTCCCATTATCTCCAGTTGCCCCAGCTAGGGACCATGGGGTAAAAACTCTAAAAATTCCTATTCCTTTAGGGTAATCAAAGGACAACCAGCCATTCACTTCTTACTCACCAGTTTCATCAGACTGGCTTTATAGAATCCCAGAGATGACAGAAGCCGTCCCATCATTTTACAGCTGGAGACTTAGATCCAAGAGAGGGAGGATTTGTCAAAGGACTGACAAATACTTTGAAACATTTCCAGGGCTGGCTGTATCCTAGATGTTCTGACTCCTCATACAGTGCTCTCTACTGCTCCCTTCCGACTTCTCCTAGACTGATTTCACTGGTCCATGGTGAATAAGAAAAGCAAGGACAGTGTGGGGTACTCTAAACATAGCTGTGAGGTTGCCCCCTTGTTCTGATCACCTCCTCTTCACTTAATAAGGGAGGGATTTTTTACTCCTGGTTTTTGGAGATGGCTGAACACACAATCCCGGACACCAGAAAGATGAGATGGATGATAGCTTATTAGTCACGTATGCTCACAGCCCAGAGGAGGACACCACACATAGAGGTTGCACAGGAGCAGAGTAAACAGCCCGGAGCTATGGGAGGCAGACTTCGTTATTTAACATTGGCTTGCTGAATAATTCTGTGGGCTGGCATGGAACTGAAGCCCACTACTCAGAGATAGTCCGGAATTGTGCCTTGTCCCCATGATAAGGAGGTTTGATTGGCTTGGGGAACTTATTAGCAGAAACTAAGTTGGAAGGAGGACTTGTGGTTAGGTTGTTGAGGTGTTTCAGATTTTTTTGTGTCGAGATAGCACATACTGTTGAATCCTAATTTGGGGCTAATTGAGTTCTTATGCCACATACCTTCCCTTCCTTGGGAAGACCTATGTTTTCATGCTAAGGTTATACCTCTCTGCTTCTTTGTAGCAGCAGTGGTAGAAGGCATGTGTGTTTTTAATGTCCAAAGGCAAAAAAAAAAAAAAAAAAAAAAAAAGAAAGAAAAAGAAAAGAAAAGAGTAAGGTGGTAACTTCCTGTTGATGTGCAGATTTCTTCGGAAACATGACTAGTCTATGAAATTCAAAAATCTTGGAATCGTGGCCTCTATACTCTGCTGCTTCTCCTAATCTCTAGTTGAGGTCAACTCCCCAAGTGAGGTCACTTTCTGAAGAAGTGCATGTTTGGTTGGAGAGTGTGACAAAAAGTAAAAGTTATCTCTTATAACAGAGGGCAAGAGGACAGAGCACCAGTGGAGATATAATACTTGATGTTTTATTTATCTATTTATTTAAAAGAATTGATTGACTGATTGATTAATTGATTGAAGGAGAGGTAGAGAAACATGGGGCTCATTCCCAGGACCCTGCGATCTTGACCTGAGCCAAAATCAAGAGTCAGAAGCTCAATTGACTGAGCCATCCAGGCACCCCTCAACATTTATTTCAAAAACCTTATTCATAGGTGTATAATTAATTAAAAGACATTATTGTTCTAGGTGCAGTGTTCTAGGCATAGGGCTAGACCCTGGAATTACAAAGATCAACAGAGCACAATCTCTATTTTCAAAGGTTTGTCCAATGGTGGAGACAGAAATGGTATAGAGATGGTTAGAGAGCAGTAAGGTAAGGGTGATGGTAGGATGTGTACAGAGCATTGTGGGACCGCAAAGAAGGGGCAAGTGATGACCCAGTCTGTCAGAGAGGCTTTCTTAGAGGAGGTGAGATATGAATTGAGTTTTTCAAGATGAACTAGAGTTGCCCAGGTATGGTAGGTTGTTAACGTTAATGGTCTCCAATGAAGCATGCATCCTGGTACCCACACCCTTTGTGTGACTCCCTTCCACATTTATTGTGGGCTTGGCCATATAAACTGAGGTGCCTCCGTTTAGATCAACCACCACTTGGGATCAACTAGCTCCCAACTGACTACCACAAGAGTGATCACAAAAGCATGTGTAATCCCAACTGATGCCACATAGAACAGAAATAAAGCATCCCAGGTAAGCCTGCTAAGGTGAATATTCTAAAACCTGGATACATATTCTTTGATACTGCTTTATCAAGAAGTTAGTCTGTATTCCCTTATGAATCTCAATGGGGGATGTAACTGCTTCAGTCAATGGAATATGGCAGAAATGATGTTAAAAGACTTTTGATTATTTATTTTTTAAAAAGATTTTATTTATTTGAGAGACAGAGAGAGTACAAGCTGAGGGGAGGAGGGGGGAGAGGGAGAGGGAGAAGCAGACTCCCTGCTGAGCAGGGAGTCCAATATGGGGCTTGAT